ATCAACCCCGGTGTGATACCGGTCCAGCAGCTTGAATGGCTTCCAACTCAAACTTCTGCGGCCTCGGAATATGATTAATTGCTTTTCATTGTTACTGTTGTTGGTTTAAACAGACCATAAAACCTGACATCTGATCTCAGACATCAGATGCATCTCAGCTATGGCCGCTGATTGGAAATGCCCTTTAGATGCACTTCCTACCCTTTGTAGTTGTAGCCGCGGAGCGTACATTTCTTGAAGTTATTATTGTTAGCGTACTGCTGAGCGCGGCTAAGCTGGAGCTTCAGTAATTGCCGTCTTCCATAGGTTCCTGAATCAAGCCACAAAACTCTACACGATGACCACAGTGGTTCCAGTCAACCATGCTTTCTTCACAACCAGTGCCATCATCGCAGGTGAGTCCTGGCTTTCCCCGGGAGGTGAAGCCACCCCACCACAGGTACAGACAAGGTCCTCTCAAACTCAAAGGCAGAACAAGGAAGCTTTGGGAGTCCATGTCCCCAGCCTCCAACCAGTATCTAATTTCTTCCATGGTCCTCTCCTTTGTGTGACTACTTCCTGGTGCTCTCTGCTTCCTGAGGCAGCCCAGTCCTGTCTTGATGACTCTCATTAACTCGGGAATGACTAGAAAGTGTTTCCTTACACTGGAGCTCAAATTAGCTTCCTTATGAATTCAAGACACAGTTTTACCTTTACTCTGCCTTCCCAGGCTGCTGCTCGCAGCTCCTGCTAATCAAAGTGAAGGAAAAAAACCCTCTTGAGTCTTCCCTGCAGGCCAAACACCCCCAGTTCCTTGGACTCATCCGTCTGTGCCCACATCACCTTAATGAAAGAATGTGGTCCCTGGCCTAATTTACCATTGCAGGGAAATTTACCCAATTTTCACAGAAGGCCTGACAAACTTCCACAGTTGCCTCTCCTACAATTCCTGTATTTTAATGAATACTTTCCACATTGCAGAGATAATAATGTTAAAAAAGTACAAAACTTAAAACCTGGTCCAAGCCAAAAATACAACAGATTCAAGTAAATTATTTATAAATGGGATAATGGTAGGGCGTTGGCTCGATGTTATCAGCAAGCTCAAAGCTAAGCTGATGCTTCTGCCACTGTCTCAGCAGGCTACGGCTGTGTAGTCCACACTGGCCTGGAACTTGCTTTGTAGCCTAGGCTGGCCTCTTAACTCAGGATCCTCCTGCCTCTGCATCCTGAGTGCTGGGATCACAGATGTGTGCCACCAAACCCAGCTCAGTGGGCAGGACCTTAAAGTGATTCATACAGCCTTCTGTCCCCCCCACCCCAAAAAATGAACCTCAAAGAAATACTTAAAGATTATATCCTAAGGCAACCAGTGCCTAGTGCTTCCAGGCAAAAGTGAGAAAAGATTGTATGTTGGTACACCCTAGAATTATCAGAAAATTAAAATAAAGCAAAAGGAATTACAGACATGATATACACCCTAATAATATACAGGAAAAAATATTTTAAAAATAACATAGTTCCCTGAGCAGAAGGTTTTTAACTACTAGGGCTGCATGTAATGCTCTCGAGACATTGAGCAATATGTGAGTTAGGAATGCCTGAACCTTCTGGAAATGATAACAGTTCGTCCAATGTTGCATGTGGACTGGTAGTAAAGCTGTTCAATGGTCCCCTCCTCCCAGCAGCAAAAGGTATAGCTGAAAGGCAAAATGGCCATTTCCTTCCTGCTAAGTTAATAAATGTGTGGTTTTTACTGCAGTAGCCAGCACGGGCAAGTCTGTACTATCCTGGGCACCCTTACAGGGCTGGGGAGGTGGTACCACTCTCCCAGACTGAGTTCACGGCATTATCAAGGGCTTTATAAAAGCTTCCACTCTGATTCTACAAGTCAACACCAAAACCACGAGTGACCTGATTTAAAACGAGCAAAGGACCCAAACGTGTCTGCAAAGAGAATATAAAACGGCCAACGAGCAAATGAAAATGATTAGACATCGATAAATCAGCAAAGAACGAAACGGGATGTCACCTCACACATCCGTCACGGTGACTACTATTTTAGTGTTGTTTTGTTTTGTCTTGGAGACTGTGTCTCTCTATGTAACAGTCCCGGCTGTCCTAGAAATCACTGTGTAGACCAGGCTGGCCTCAAACTCACAGAGATCCGCCTGCCTCTGCCTCCCGAGTGCTGGGATTAAAGGAATACACCTCCGTGTCCAGCCAAAGATTTATTTGTTTATGTATTTTATGCACATGGGCATTTTGTCTGCATGTACACCTGTATACCAGGAGAAGGCATTGCATCCCATGAGACTACAGCTGTAGATGGTTGTGAGCCGCCACGTGAGTGCTGGGCATTGAGCACAGGACCTCTAGAAGAGCAGGTGGTGCTCTTAACAGCTGAGCCATTCCTCCAACCCTAGGGCGGCCACTGCTAAAAGGAAAAAAAAAAAGTAGCAGCAAAATTGTGAGAGATTAGGATGTTAACTCCTGTACCATTGGTAAGTGGAAATGCAAAATTATATAGCCATTAATTATTCTACAATCCAGCAATTATGTTCACCGAAAGTGGACACAAATTTGTAGCATTAACCATAATAGCCAAGGCCCAGCATTGGTGGCACACGCCTTTAATCCCAGCACTCGGGAGGCAGAGGCAGGCGGATCTCTGTGAGTTCGAGGCCAACCTGGTCTCCAGAGCCAGTACCAGGATAGGCTCCAAAGCTACACAGAGAAACCTTGTCTCAAAAAACCAAAACCAAAACAAACAAAAACAAACAAAAAAACCATAATAGCCAAAACATGAAAGCAATCCCAGATGGTAAGGGGAAAAAAGTGATGACTACATGCAATAGAGTCCTACTCACCCTGAAAAAGGACACTTGCTCCAACGCTGATGAAACAGGGACATTGTTAAGAGAATAAAGTCAATCGCAGAAAGAAAAGGAAGATACTGAGCTCATGCACTTGAGTCAAACTCACAGAAACAGGAAGAAACATAAGACGCCTGCTCACCATGGTGTCTCCAGCACCTGCGGCACTACCTTCCAAAAGACAGCAAATGTTCTCTGCCAAGTAGCAAAACCCACCCGCCACACGCACACAGCTGGTTTCAGATGCTCTGTGATTTGAAGATTTCCTAATTAATAAAAGCTCTACAAAGTCTTTGGGACATGAAGAAGTCCCTGAGACTAAGTGGGAGAAAAGTTCATTAAAGCGGATGACAATGCTCCCACCGCCACCACCCTTCCCCCATGATCTACGGGGGATGCCAAAGGAAGAAGACAGGAGGAAGCTCCTGGAGAAAAGTGAAGCCAGGGCAATGCCCAATTGCCAGAGGTTCCGCTCATGCCCATGTGGGCACCTGACCAGACTTAACAAAACATAGGACATAGCCAGACATAGCGGAAGGGATGGCATAGCTGCACAAGCATGAGAACCTGAGTTCAATCCCCAAATCAAACTCACATTAAAAAAAAAAAAAATGCTGTGTCTGTGATTCCAGAGGCTAACTATAGACAAGCCAGTGAGAGACCCTGCCTCTAAAAACAAGGTGGATATACGGCTCATGAGAAAAGACACACGTTGTGCTCTGGCCTCCGGCATGTGCACACACATGACTATGCATTCGTACACACATACATGCATGTATATAGACAAAAATAAAATTTCTGCTTACAAAAACTTAAGTTGGTTCTTTTTTTATAACATTGATAATTATACGAAGCCTGCAAGCCCATGTGAATCCCTTGAGTAGTTTCAAATGTAAGAATAGCACACAGACTCTCTTAAATCAAAATACTGCATGTACATTTTAAGGGAAACCACACACAGGGAGAAAAAATGTATTTACACAATTAAAAAAAAATAATGTGTTGCTGTTATAAATGTCGCTACCCTAAAATTAACTCTGTTCTTCTCTTATACAGGCATCATATTCTACCAGGAATTCCTCGGTGCTGCTTTTCTCGCTGTGTTTATTTACCTTTTTGGGTGAGTAAAAGTCTCAGAGGCAGCCAGGCAGTGGTGGCGCACACCTTTAATCCCAACACTCAAGAGGCAGAGGCAGGGGGATTGCTGTGAGTTCAAAGCCAGCCTGGTCTACAGAACAAGTTCCAGGACAGCCAGGGCTCTTACACAGAGAAACCCTATCTTGAAGGTATATGAAGTTCTATTAATTCTAATAGGATTTTTCGCATCTTGCCTGAAGTATAGAAAATTGGAACATAGTATAAGAAACGTCTTTCCCAACTTAACACTCCACACAGGGCTCTGCGGCCTTCGCTTTGTGACTTACGTACCCCTTT